CTTGCCTTGCCTTGCTTGATTTATTTAATTAACTTTTTTTTCGCCATTTCTTTTTTTCTTTTTCTTTTGTTTTTTTTTTGCATGAACATTTCCCTCAGCAACGACGACGAGCCCAACCGCAATCGTTGAGTCGTCGATGTCGAGGCTTTATTTCAAGTGTTTTCATCGGTTCCCATTCCATGTAGTTTTCCATCCTCATTGTTCTTAAGTGGCCGCCAGCCGGGGAAAATTCTTAATGCTCGAATTCGAAAATATGCTGCGAGCTTAACAAAAAGGGAAAATACTCGTACTCGAAGCACAATGGCCGCTTGCAATATTATTCAATTTGCCATTATAGCTTTATCCCAAAGTAAACCTTCTCGCAGGGGGGCGGGGAAATGTCCGGTAATGCGAGTGTTGGTTTCCATTATGAGACAATCTGCATAATGAAAGATATTTACAGGAATTTAAACTATATTTGAGATCAGGATAAGAGTTTAATATTAGTTATCAAAGCATTCAAAGTAATCATATCACATTCTTGAATAAAAATACTTCTTCCTTTCATATAAAACTTTAACTTTTGTCAAACATTAAAGTACTTTTTAAAGTTACTAAACTGCACAATCCTAACTTGTCCCCTTCACCATATAAAGCAGATAAAAGCGAAACAGTTTATTGCCAGGACATCCCTTTCCAGGGTGGGTGGGGGGTGTGTTCAAGCCACAATGACAGAGCAATAATGTTGGATCCGCTATTACAGCAGTCTTGGCTGGAAAAGTAAACGTTTTCCCTGCACTCCAGTTTAATTTACTTTATACTGACATTGACAGGCTTTCGACCACAAATCGCCAGCGATATTTTGCTGGCCAAAAGCTGCGCTTAGTTTACCCAACCATTCAGCCAGCCAGGCTAGCTCATTTCGCTGGCACGCTCCGCTCTGCTCTGCTCTTCTCTCTTTGCTTTTACCATTTTTGTTTAAGTGGCCGCTTTGTCTTCTTTCCCCCGAAGTTTGGTTTGCTTTTTGCATTTGCCCAGCACTCTTTCTTTTTTTTGTTTGCCTTATTCATTTTCCTTTTTCTATATAGTATATATATATATATATATAGAAAGAGAAAGAGAGAGAGAGAGAAAGGGAGAGAGAGAGAGAGAGTTTTTCGAAAAAGGGGAACTAAATATTTTTTTGGGTTACTTTCTGTCCTTAGATATCCCTTTTATATAGCTTATACACATATCCTTGTGCTAGATTCGCATTTTATTATGCATTTGCTGCGGCGGCTGTGGTTGCCCTGTTTTTTTTTTTTCGTTCGGTGAAAATCTGCATTACGTATGCGACCCGTTGGCCGCGCTTTTCTCCGTTTTGCGGCTGCTGCATTTGCTACTTTGCAAATTTATTACAAATTTTTACATACGATTTATTGTCTGAGCAGCACTGCCTGCCCAGCAGCTCGTAGTCATATTCTGGGGCCATCCCATTGTTGCAAGAGGAAAAGCTTTAAAGTTCCAGTGGGGGGGACTACGTATACGTAATGTATATATACATGCTGAGCTCACGGATTCAATAAAACCGTCCCCGCGTCATGTCTTTCAACTTGACTAATAAGCCTTGGCCACGCTCATGGCCGTAAGCCTTTTTCCTCTGCTGTTTTCCGCCCCCCTCGCCACACTTTTCCGGCAGCTTCGTTGACAGTGCAACATTTGCAAGTGAGAGAGCGAGGAGCAGGCTGCTTGCCAAGTTTGTTGCACGCCCGCATAAATAACACGTCGCAAATGCATAAACTGACTTTTTGTTGCCTAATTTATGCAGCACAAAAGACGAAAGTACGACCCTGTGAGCCCGCCTCCTGGCTACTCCTTCGCCTCCTTGGCCAACGGAAACGGAAATTTTGTGCTGTGCACAAATAAATCAGCGAACTGAGAGGCCGAGGCCAAAACAGAACAGGTTGCACGAAATGCAAACGAGAGAGAGGGCTGAGCAGGCAGCAAAAATTTCTTCATCATGATGCCGCAGGTCTTGGGCAAGGATCAGGAAACGCAAAAAGTTTTTCCCCAACGCTGATCAACTATGAAAACGTCCTGTAAAAGTAGCGAAAAGTGGAAAATAGTTACTTTGTTTGGGGTGGGGGGGTTGAAATTGATGAATAAAGAAGGAAAGTAGATGTGAGTAAAGGAAAATGATAATCAATATAGGGACAAGGGTCTTAAGACCAACTTTAAACTATATTTTCAGCCATAAATAGGTGTTATGTAATTATTAGCTTTTGTTTATTACAACTTTTCTATAAATTATTTAAAGGATAACCTTCTTCGAGCTTATATTTCACAGCCTTCTACCTATTAATAGACTTATGAATAACAAGAATTTTATTGAAAAACTTTTCCTACAAGTTGCTGTCAGTTCATCCAGAATTTATTGCTTATTAACACAAGAGACAAAATGAAAGAGAAAAGCAAAACTTCAATTAAAGTGTGATTAAAAGGGAATAAATTATGGATTTAAGACACGGCCTCTTTGTTAATGAAGATATCTGATTACCACTGTTAATTAATAAATAATAGAAGAGAAATTCACAGACTGAAAAGGATTATGTTACCTTTTTTAGGTTTTCCAAAAAGCAAATTAAAACAGAAACATCAGAAAAGTAAAATTTGAAATCGGAGAACCACGTACAAAGTTGAGTTTAAATAACATTTTATTTTCCGTTTTGTGCTGGCCACGTTTTGAATGTTCTACCAAAAATATTTCGTTAACTCACACAAAATTCGCATAAATTTGACATGCACTTGGAAAACTAAAATAGGGAAACTTCTATGTTTTATATTTATGGCTAATGTTTTGATTTACCGAGTGCCTGCCCTCGCATTATATGCCCTGCCTGTTTATAGGGCATTTGGGCTAACAAAATAAAAAGGAAAAAGGAAAAACTTTCTTTTCTGATATTTTTGGTGGACCTACCTACCTAACTGGTCGTGTGTGAGTTTGTTTCTGTGTTCGTTTCCTATCTAAATATTTTGTTTTGGCAGTGCAAAAGTTTTGCCAGCCTGCCAGGGATCTAGGATACATGCCCATGTCCTTTCTCAACCACCCACACCCCCCAAATTTTTGTAATGCAAAAAGTATTTACAATTTGCAAGGCAGCTACAGTTAGGACCTGCCTGCAGGATTCTCTTTCTGCAGATTGCTGGGTTTGGTGGGGCTTGGGCTAATAGGTTTTTGTTAATTTTAGGGATTTCACATGAAAGGCGCTCAGCAAAGGGATTTTACACATGTTGCCGCTTTCACCTAAGCGCTTTCACTACTACTTCTTGTTTTTCCTTATTATTATTTTCTTCCTGTTGCAATGGACTGGCTGGCCTGCCGTGCTAAAGGTTAGGCGAAAACTACAAGGATATGTGGAAATTGCTAAGCTTTATAATAAAACGCTCGACTCCTTATATATCCTTCAGAAGGATAAAGCACAGAGGTAGTAGTAGTAGAGAGAGAGAGAGAAGGTCTGCCTGATAAAATCTAAATAGAAAAGTTGCCCAGGTCAAAGGTGATTCTCAGGTAGTTTTAGGGCCAAAAACTTTTCCACTCCTATGAGAAAACTTCTGACCCAAACACCACCCATACATAGAGATAGAGAATGAGACTACTGACAGAGGGCCAAAAGAGTAGAGTTGAGACTGCTGCTCACAAACTTACATTAGATAGCTCAGTTTTCAGCTCGTTGGTTGGTTTGTTAATGAGCCGCATTGTTGCCTTTTAAAGAGGACCAAGTTGAGGAGCCCAAGGACCCAGGAACACCATGCAAATGAAGATATGTGAGACAGGCCTGGGGATATGACCCGCTGACTAAGAGCACTGTGGGAAAGATACAAGTTATTTTGATGATTGGAATGTTAAAATATGTTATGTGTTGCTTTTACTTAGGCAAGGTTTATAACTTCCTTGTACAGGAGTACCTTGAAAATTGATAAAGGATAATGTTGGCTGGGCTTAATGATCGCTTTATCAGAGCTGCCAGTCAAGTTAATAAACTAAAGATAATCTTTCTTTCCTTACACTGAGAAGTGCTTTTTACACTTGTTAAATCTAAAAAGGGTTTTATTCTTTATGATTTTAAGATACTACATGACTTCCTTATTGTAGTTTTTAACATAAACTTAGGCAACCTTAAGTTAAAAGTTCATAAAATTTCTCATTTAATTATTCTCCGTGTAAGGCATAACAAGAACGGTATTGGGAGACAGCTGGCTGTTGGCTTTTATCTTGTGGCAGCCAACAGGCAATGGCAATGGCAACGGCAAAAACGAAACATCAAGCCAACGCTAACGACAACCGCCAACGATGTTTGCATATTACGCATACGCAACGTTGTCGCGTATCTCAATTTGGCTGCCGTTGCCACATTTTCCCCTACCTTCCTCCCACTCTTCCCCTGCTACTACTTCATACTTTTTGGCCTGCAACATGCGGTGTTGTGTCACTGGCATCTCCCTATTTCTGGCTGTTCCTGCCCCAACCCCCCATCCAGCTTCCACCGAAATATCCCCTGCAAGCATTCGGTCGACAAAGCAAATACAATAAATGAACGCCGGCAGCGCCTCATCGTCTTGTTCTGGAGCGGAAGAAGAACAGCTCTCCACTGGCAAGTTTGCCGCCTCTTGCTTATCTGCCCCCCTCCCCGCGCAACAAAATGTTGCATTTCGGGACTTTGTGTGCAGTTTGCCATTTTATTATTTTCAGCATATTTTTTTATGCATGAGTTTTTCCTCTGACAGCTTGAAGAGTCAACGTCTCTCTGCTCTTGCTTTATATCATTTAATTGCTTTGGTAAATGTTTAAATATTTGAGCTTTGAGGGGGTTTCCCGGGGGGGAGGGCTGTTCTAGAAAAGGTAACCAAACAAAGGAAAACATTTGGATTAAACTTAAACTTAGTTGACGGTGGCTTAGGAGGGAGACTTGTGAAAGGGAATTCTACAAGAAAGAAAAGAAACTAAATTGGATTATTAATTCTCTCTCCGTCTTCTCTTTCAGACTCATCCAACGCGACACTCATCCCGCTCCCATCATCAACTGCCGCATGATCAATGCGGGTGGCAAGCACGTCCGAGATGCCTCACCAGCGCCCGACCATCGTTCAGAGGCTCGATTACGCATCGATCCCAAGGTTCTCGTTTTTGTGGAAACCACATATTCCGGCTTGGGCAGGGACATAGCCGAGCTGCTAGTCTACAATCGGATCAAGTAAGTTTTAACATGGCAGGGCAAAAGAGAAATCATAGACAATTAGCTCTGGCAAATTTGCATAATTGCAAAGGCAGCGATGCGGCGATAATTATTACACTCAAAGTAACTGGGAAACGGAAGTGGCAGCGTAACCAACACCAACCCAGACGCCAGACACACACACATAGACAGACACAGACAGAGAAAATGAATGGCGAGTGCCAAGTGAGGTCCTCCGGACTCTGGACTCCGGAATGCTCTATTTTCCTCTGTTCCGCCTGTTCCTTTTGCTGTGCAGCCCCGGCCATTGTCAATGTTGACCCAATTTGGGTAGTTGGCCATAAAAAGGCAGGTTATGAAATTAATGCCAAGCTATGCAGCTCTGCAGCTCCTCCTCCTCCTCCTCTTTCTTCTCCTATCCACTCGCCTCTGTGCTCTGTGTCTCTGACCAGCTGGGGAGCTGCTCCTCTTTGCCGCTGCGGGCAACCAGCAAAGCATTCCAGTTTAATTGGCAACTTATGCTTTTGTGGTCGAGTGGCTGGCCTGCCAAACGGTGCCGCATCCCGAGCATCCTTGCCGGGGCATACCATCCATATCCATCCAGCACATCCATCTGGACTTGGAGAGCTCAGGCGGAAGTCTCGTTTTCTCTGGCCAATGTCTCACCTGCCGCCCCCGCCTGCTACCTACTTACCTACAGACATCTCATGGCTCGTATGGTTCCCCTTGCTTCTCTTGCTTCTCTTGCTTCTCTTGCTCCTCTAGCCAAGTCAGCAGTTTTTCCCCATGCCAGAGTAGCCTGAAGTCGGCCAACAAAGTGCTGAACTTCAAGGAGCCGTTGGAGTCCCTTAGGGATGACTGTAAGCCATAAACACACAGAGTCTGCCGGCAATGTTGCATAATTCGAGAGCATTTTAGTATCTTATATGTTCACAATTAATTTAGGTTTAGTTGGAACTTAAGTATTGGAGATTTTATAAGTGCTGTGTGGCAAGCAAAATTTAAACTTAATTTGGTTATGAAACCAAAACCTTAGACACTTTCTCTAAACTTGTAGAAGTTTGACTTACTAATCCGATTTTTCAGATCAATAATCTTTCTTTAAAGTCTTAAGTAGCTAAAAAAACATAAGTTGTTTCCAATTTTCAATTATTATTCAACATTTAAGACCGGATAAACCCTTAGGGTATTTCAAGTTTCCTATTTTCGTGGCCCCTTTTTCGTTGCCTACCTTCTGGCGCACAAAGAGTTATTCTTTCCTTGGTTTATGCCTTTGTAATTCGCCTGTCGACCACTGCCTTGTGCTGGTTTGCTTCTGTGTGTGTGTGTGTGTGTGTGTTGTCTGTGTGGGTGGTGGGTGTTGATCTGAGTGTTCTCCCAGTAGGTGTGAGCCTGTCGAGTCCGCCCAATTGGTTAACCGCAGTGACCGCAGGATGCAGCCTCCTGCGAATAACCGCAATTATTATACCAGCTGCACTTTGGCACTTTTGGGGCGTGGCTAACTTTTCAATACCATTTTTATACAAGCATTTTCTTTCGTTTCGTTTTTTTTCTTCTTCACACTCTTTTGAAATGCAGACGATGCATGCATGTTTGTTGTAATTGTGTAAAATTGCGGAGGTTTAGTAAAAAAGGGCAAGAAGAAAATGGTTTATGTGGAGGAGGTGGAGGATGTAAGAAGCCCGAGGCGAAAATTCTGTGCTCTGTGCCTCGCCAAAAGTCAAAGGGCAAAAATTTCAATTTGCCGCAGCTTTTGTTGATGTTGTTTGGACTCCTTTGGCTTTTGTGTTGTATAATTAAATTTTGTCGTTATGGCACAAGGAAAACTAGATGCTGCTCCTCCTCCTTCTCTTCTCTTCTCTTCTCTTCTCTCTCCTCTCTGCTTCTACTTAGCATTTGGTCTAAGACTTACTCTCCTTACTCCTTCAGCAGCAGACAAGTGCTTGAACTTTAATGAGATTTCAAGTACAAATAGCAACAGAACAGCACTGGCATTCAGTCAGCCGGAGAATCAGTCCCCTTCATTTCATTTCACTTCCCTAACTGAAAATCCCCTCCCCACCCCCTCCCTCTAACCAGTTGAGTAATGCCAACCATTGTCTCTGCCGCGTCTCTGTAACCAAATATGCAGGCGAATGACTCTCATGACCTAATCAACTTGGCCATATGAGCAGGGGAGACGGGAGTCGGGAGTCGGGAGTATCCGGGTGGATCCTTGATGCCTGCCATTACTCCCGCTGCTTATCAATGACTTCATTAGTGTACTCTTCAGTGACTAGTCTGCTTGTGCTGCTGCTGCTTCCTTGGGGTTTCGGGTACTACAAACTTTGCCCCAAAGCCAAGGAAGGGGGCAACAAATTTCATTAACATTACCATCTCATTATTGCTGATGACTTTTGTGAGGGAGTTGAAGTGTATGCATATCACAGAACCGAAAAGAGAACATAACAGATGAGTACACAGGAGGAAAACTATCTAGTTTGATGGTAAGATCTTGTACGGGGTTTAGTTTAATGTAAAGTCAAAATCAAAAATCATGTTATGGAAACTTAAAATGGCATTGACCTAAGGCATGAACTTGCCTTTTATTTGTAAACTTATTTATGATTATTAAAGATTAATGAATGGTAAATTGTAGAGCTAGCTTAGGCACAACTTTAAGTTATCTTTTCTTGCTTATGCTTAACCCATTAAAACACAACTTTAAATTGCTTGTATTAAAAGCCCACTTCCACTTTTTCCCTGTGCATTAAAGCGGCAGAAAGATCGCCCTGTGGCATATGAAGTAGTTTAAGTTTGTTGCAACTGCCTGAAGCTGTACAACCCCACCGCTGCCACACACACACAAGGCCCAGGCTCAGGCAATCAAAGTTGTCGCTGGCGCCATGGCAGCCATTATTGAAATGCGTCCCATGGAATTGAAGTGCGTGGACGGGACGCAGGTGCATTCTCAACGGTTCTATATCTCTATGGGTATGGGTGTATCTGTCTCTTTGCCACGGCAATCCTAGAGTTCGCAGCTTTTCCCCATTATCAATTATTTATGAACCGAAGCGACGCTGCTCATTGCTCCCAAGTTGCCACTCAATTAGTCATGAAAAATTCACTCCGTGACTTTCCAAGTGTTGCACTTGACGTATGCGTAATGTGCTGCTGCTACACCAAAGCATAGAATAGAACTAACACACACACACACACACACACACAGACTGTCGTTAAATTTATTCAATATTTGCCTTCTGGACTCTGGCTGCATTTTAAGTAGGTAGAAAAATCTGAGATTTGCCATCTTACTAATGGACCTTGGCTACAACGCTTTTCGCTTTGTTATCGCTGTGCTGCCGCTGCCCTTTTAGCCGCTCCAATTAGCCTGGCCAATTGATTGATTGCCAGCTTTTCGGGTGCTCCCTGTTCTTTCCCTCATTTCCTTTTTTCTTCTTCTTCTTCTCATTTTTCTACCCAAACAAATGGCCCAACGTTGTACATACAAATTTCTGGCCAAAAGCCGCGCGCGCCAGCAAGTATGCAAAGTTTTTGGGAAAAGTTTTTACGCCCGGATTGCTGCCATTTGTAAGCTGGCCAGCCTCCAAAAAAAGCAAAAGGGGAGGGGTAAGGCGGAGAATAGTGAGTGTTAGAAGCAAGTTTTGTGCCTCTAATGCGCCGTGAAATTCTAATGAAATTTTCTAAGGTAATTACGCGGCCCAAAAGACATCGCCTCAATGGTGGTGTATGCCATGCCACCATCGTTTATTAAATTGCCATTTATAATGTGCACAAGGCAACGTTCAGTTGGTGGGCGTGTGTATGCGCGTAATAGCTACTTAACCTTATTTTCAATTTTTGATTGAGGGAGGGGTTAGTGGAGGTTAAGGAAGTCAAGTCAGGCGGTTCAGGCTGACTGAAAGTCAAGTCAGCAGTCAGCACACGGAAGTCATCAGCAGCCTTGTTATCATTTGAACCAAGGGTTCCCCCATGCTGTGCTAGGGCGTGTGTGTGTGTGAATAATGTAGCATGCTTTTGTGGTGGCTCAGCCCCAAAAACTCAGCGCTCATCCTTTCGGTTATTCCGGGGCGCTGATTGCGCCACTGGGAGCCCGAACTTTTTAAAACGCGAAATGGCAAAAGGCGAATAACGAGAACACCAGACCCAAAAACCTACTCCTACCTCATCCTTAGCCCATACCAGGCCAACTGACGTCAATTCGCGCAGACACATGGCAAGCGCCATAAACAGGCACCACAATTGGAAGCTTGCCATGGTAGGGAAAAAGGACTTGGCTAGAGGACTTGGCTCCCCTTTTTCCCAGGGATTCCTAGCTTGGGATCTGCTCCTGCTAGCAGCTCTTGCCTTCGCTGAGCTCGTCATAATCACACCCTTTTCGCCAATGTTTACTTTAATAATGTCGCGGAAAATTTTTATTTTCAATTTTTCACAAGTCAATGGAGTTTAACCAGCCACCAAAGGCTGACTACCGACTATCTGTGGTGGTGCCACAGTGGAAGCCAATGGGTTGTGAAATTGTATAATCCGTCTCAGGAGATTGCCGTTTTATCATTTATAAATATTCAATAATAGAGTTAAAGAGAAAGTGGTTTAGATTTCTAGAGAAAATGAAAAGTGAGATTGATTTGTTTAAATTTTAAACTTAATAAAACAAAAATTGGTTTTATGCTCTTTTATAAAATCCCTTTAACTTGTCTTTATTCTTAATAAAAAAACCTCACAGAAGCTTCTTCTTAGAAAAGTCAAGCGTTTTATCCCCCCTCAGCTATCAATCCTGAATGCCACTTCCTTTTTAATAAATTAAATAACCTGACAAGTTGAGACTTGAAATTCCATTTCCTTTCTAATTAAAAATTCCACAAATCCAATTTGTATTTTTCTAAGCCCACAAAATGGCTGAGTCCCCATGAATAAAAATGTTTTTGTTTGTTCGTTTTAAAATATTGAAAATTCCATTTGGTTAGCAATTAAAAATTCCACAAATCTGAATTCAATTTATAAGAATCGTTGCATTA